ATGTATAGGTATAAATATTTTGTACGACTCCTAATCTTTTGTTATCTTCATTTTCATCTTTTCTACGTTGACCTCAAGTTTACTCCTTATCTTTACGTAATCGGTTATATCGCTCACAGACACTGCCTTCGCCACATTATAAATGTATACCGGGACCTTAATCTCTGCCACTCTGAAATTGTCCCCAGGCTCTGAAATAGCTTTCCCTCTGTATCCAGAAAAACGATTTCCTTTTCTTTTGAACATATATCCACTCATCACTCCTTACTTCTGATCTCCAATTGCCATTGCGAACAATTTCTGACATAGACTTTGCATGCCCTTCACTACGTGTAATCTGTAAATTCGTTGCGAATACATCAGCGTTTACGCTTTTATTAACCTGCACTAATATTGGGTCACTCGGTTGTATGCGTGCGGTGGCCGTGTGTTTCGCGCTTTCGTCGGCACAGGTCTCGGTGTTTACGTCCTCAGCCGCAGGCACCGGTGGCGGCGGCTGGCTCGACTGCACCTGCGCCGGGTGAGTCATCGTAACCGCCATTTCGGGTGATTCACGCAACATACTATTGTCGGATAGCGGCGCTATACGACTACCTTCAAATGACTTTAATTTCAGTTCCATGCCCTGATATATTGATTCTCGTAATGAGATATCGTTAACATCATTATGCCCTTCACTAGGTAGGCAATCTCATGGAACCACTTTCGCGCTCGAAGCTATTTTGTAAAAAACCTACGCGACGCAAGTTAGTTAATGTTGCGTCCATAGTTACTTACCAGCGACGTATCCCTAAGGATATCAACCTCAGACTTCAGCCGGTCTAGGTTCTCCTGCTTCGCGCAGTCCTTCTTAGTCATGCTGATATCTGGTTGCTATGATTTTTTGACTATGACTTTTAGAATTTTCGTCATATCTACATGGTCCCATAAGACGGGAGGGAGTTTTTCAAGAGCCGTAACAGTTACCAGCCCCATGTTAAAGAAGTGAGAAGCAACAAACTGTTCCTCGCAAAGTATGTAGAGACAAACCTGTCTGCAGCACTTCTAACTTTATTGAGGTGTGTTATTTTCACATGTTTTTTTAATATATAATTTAAAGAATTTTAACCAACCACATTAAATGTAGTTAGATGAACGGCTTCTTGTAAAATATTCATCATGAGTTGGATCGATAGCCTATTTTTCTTTTTATTTAAACTTTCAAAATTAACAGAAAAATACTTAGAACACTTTCTTTGTAAATGTATTTTTTTTTGTTTCAGGATCAACAGTTTAAAAAATCCAAAAACTTAAGATGAAATGTGAAGATCAAAGTAAAAAAATTAAAAGATTAAATGACAAAGTGAGGAGATAAAGTAAGAAAATAGCTGATTTTAAAATTTTAATGAAGGATATAAAGGACAAAAACTATGTTAATGATGATTATGCGACTATGTTGGAGCAGTGCGCAGGCCCCAAAAATTTTCTTAAGAGACAAATTTCTAAAACGGTAGGTTTGCCTATGAAAAGGCAATACAGCGAAGAAGTTCGAAAATTCGCATTGACGCTTCACTTTCTGTCTCCAAAAGCTATGATTTTGTTCGTCATACCTACAATGCGTGTTTGACACATCCGAGAACTTTGAGTAGGCGGTACCAGAATGTAAATGCTGAGCCTGGTTTTTGCACAGAAGCTTTTAATGCTTTGAAACTCAAAGCTCAAACAAGTGAGATGCCAGTGCTATGTTCTTTAGTGTTAGATGAAATGGCTATCAGAAAGTGTCTATGCTGGGATCCTCGAACTAAGACTTATTATGGAAGAGTTAACGTGGGCACTGACTGTGATATGGACTCACTAGAAGTAGCCAATGTTGTTGGAAGTTGCCTGTGGGATACTTTTTCATAACAGCTTTGTCTGGGGAACAAAAAGCAGAACTAGTAAAAAATATGCGTCCACAAATGTGAAGAAGTAGGTGTCAAAGTTGTGAGCTTGACCTGTGATGGTTCAGCTGCAAATTTTAGCATGTTTTCAACATTAGGATGTGATTTCAATTCAAGCAAGACGACTTTTACTTACAGTAACAGCATCGTACACGCTTTTATTGATCCCTGCCATGCTATCATACTAGTCCGAAATGCTTTCGGAGAATTAAGTGTTTAGTGATATTTATGGCAGGGAAATTAATTACATCTATCTGGAACATCTGCTAAATTTGCAGGAAGTAGCAGGACTGCATATGGACACGAAATTACAAAAGCTCACGTACTTTATCAAAAACAAATAATGAAGATACGACTTGCCACGCAGCTTCTTAGTGACTCGGTGGCAGATGCCTTGGAGCTTTGTAATAATTTAAAAATACCGGTATTTCAAGGATGTGAAGGCACAATTAACTTTATTAGGTTAATAAACAATGTTTTTGATGTGTTGAACAGCCGATCAATTAGACCACCGGGGTGGAAAAAGGCTACTTTCTCTGGAAACATTGGTTTGGTGGAAGCTTTATTCGAAGGCGCTATAAGCTACCTTCAAAATCTGACGTTGCCATCTGGGCAGAAACTTGTAGATACCTACTAGAAGAAAAACTGGCTTTGTAGGGTTTGTTCTGTATATAATCAGTGCAATTCAACTCTATAAATATTTTATTGAGGGCACCAAACTTTTACAGTACTTGCCATTATACAAGGTCAGCCAGGACCACCTCGAGTTTTTTTTCAGCTATTCGGGCACGGCTGGCTTCAATAATAACCCAAACGCGGTTCAATTTAGGGCAGCTTTTAAAAGATTGTTAATAAGAGCTGAAATTAGGGATGCGGACCTTGCTAACTGCGTACCCCTGGAACAAACTGATATACTAACCTGCTCTTGTAAGACTAAGCCAGTCACGGCCATAAACGATTTGACAGAAAGAAATTCATTTGTTGAATTGCCTGAGGATGATAGTGAGTTATACGAAGAATTTATTCATTGCATGTACAACAACCTACCCAACTATTCCGACAGCGTAGTTACTTATATTGCTGGTTTTGTATCAAGAAAGTTGGCACGGTCTATAAAATGCGATATTTGCGCAAATTTGTTGTTTGGCGATCACAAAGACTATCAAAAAAGTTTAATAACTTTAAAGAACAGGGGTGGGCTGATTTACCCATCAACAGACGTGAAGCGCACTCTAATTAAAGTGGAAAAAATCTTAAAGGGTATTTTTAAGAAACAACTGCGATCTGAGCAATATTACTTCCATGTGTTCAGATTTTTAATGGAACATTTTGATGAAGCGAATTTGTTTAAATCAAACTGCGAACATGACACGACACATAAACTTTTACTTATTAAATCCATAGTCCAAACCTATATGGATCTGAGGTTTACATACTTTGGAAAGAAAATAACACAAAAAATTTCATTTCAAAATTATTTTAATAAAATTATATTATTTCGTAATGAGTATGAGAATAATGAGAATGAGAGCGAGTAATTTATGTTTGTAATAAATATTTTTTAAATGGAAATTTCAGTGTTATTATGAAGTAGCGTCCGCCCGAGGTATCTTCTTATTCTATCTCTCGGGACCTCTAATCCTATATGTTAATTCAGGTAATAAACTATTTGTGTGCCAAATTATTACATTTAAACTGGTCTGATACTTTTGCCGTAATTGAGGAACAAACAAACATACCAAGCTTTTGCATTTATTATAGTTTGATTAGTGTGAGTGTGATGACTGAGCCTAATTTATTGTGTAACAAACAAACAAAAATTCTTTAATTAGTATTTCTTGTTTAATTCCTGAGAAATAATTGTAACATTAATAATAGATAGTTACATTATAAAAGCAAAACAAAATGACTACTTAAAAAGTAATGAACTGAAAACATAAGTATAACTTATATATTATATTTCAGTAATGTCCTTTTAATTTCCTTTATTTTGATATCCCTATCGATAGGTTGAGTAAAAAAAATTATGGACTTACAATTTGTCATCCGTCATATCGATTTAAAAAAAAAACTAAGTATCTATAAACACTCGGGTGTTTGAGACGAATCACACGAAAGAATCTTTTTTCAAATAAGCACCACATTATCGATATTAAGTATAGTGTGCAACAATACGTCAAGCCGCCATCTTTGTGCCACGCTCAATTCAGGTATACACGTTTTTTTCATAGGTATATCATGTCCTTTCTTTTTTCTCTAGTCAAAGTGTCTGTACTACTAAGAAATTCAGGACATCATAGGCGTGATTTTACTGACAGCTGTCGCAGTGATCAAGCTATCTTTTATGAACTATAACTAAAAAAGTAAAACGATAACGATCGCTGAAACTGAATTTGAAGTGGTTTTGACGGGAACTTGGCCGTAGACTCGCTCCGGTTTTGTCGCTTAAATAATGGTTTGAAGTGGATTTTGATTCATAAAAGTGATGCGATTTTGTGAATTATCTGCGCGTGTGAACTATTAGAGAAAACGACGAAACAAGTGCTTTGATGTCGATATAAACCTCCGCCGTTCGTTATTAACCGTCCGCTGAGTTGAGCTCTCTTCAAAATCTCCCTAAAACTTTGCGATGTGACGCATCAGAAGAAAAAATATGTAAAAATGAAGATTCTGAAAGAACTGATAGGCTCGGAAGAGCTAGAACCCACAACCGTAAAGCTAGTTAAATAAAAAATATAAATTGAATTCGAAGTTTTAAATACTGTAAGAAATTAATAAGAAAAATAGCTTTAGATAAAAATTTCAACAATGAGTCCTCCACTTCATGTAGAAGTAGTTCAAAAGAAAGGGAGTTATATGAGTAAAATTGTTATAAAATTATTAGTCCATAAGTATGTATCACGATTGAATACTTTGAGTCCTGGTAAAACAATAAATAATAGTGATCTAAAGAAAAATGTGTTACTTTTTGAAAATGTGCACTCTATTAAATTTCCTGACATAGAACATGATTCCATAGTGCTTAGAAGTGGAACCGAACTCTTTTACCATGTGTACTCTTTCGATGCTGAAACTATCACTATGAATGATAATTCTTCGGGCGAGGAACGCTCTGCGGCCGATGTATGGGTTCTTCCGGCCGAAGAGTTGCACGGTTTATGGGAAAATCTCATATATGACTCCCAGCTTAAGGAAGATTTGTTGCGATTCGTACGTTTCGTTTCGTATTCGTAATTTGAATTTGCCGATCGCGGCGTGGACCCTAACATCGTCAGCTGGAATCGATTTGTGCTGTTACACGGCCCGCCGGGTACGGGAAAAACCAGTTTATGTCGCGCGCTGGCTCAGAAGCTGGCAATCCGTCTCTCGGATAGATTTCCTCGGGCGCGTCTGGTCGAGATCAACGCGCAGTGTCTCTTTTCTAAATGGTTCTCTGAGAGCGGTAAGCTGGTGGCGAAGCTTTTCGATCGCATCCGCATGATACTCGAAGATCGGCGGCTGCTTGTGTGCACCCTCGTTGACGAAGTGGAGTCGCTGACACACGCGCGGCGCGCGACGCTCGCCGGCCTGGAGCCATCGGACTCGATCCGCACCGTGAACGTGATCCTGACGCAGCTGGATCGACTCAAGCGGTACCCGAACGCGCTCGTATTGACGACTTCGAACGTGACAGAGGCGATCGACGTGGCGTTCGTGGACCGCGCGGACAACAAGCGGCTGGTGGAGCCGCCGTCGGAGCGCACGGCGTACGAGATCCTGCGCGGCTGTTGCTACGAGCTGAGGGCGCACGGGGCGGTGGCGCCTCCTCTGCTGCTGTGCGCGCCTCTGTTCTCGCTGCGCGTGCTGGAAGGGGTGCGCTTCGTGGAGAGCGACGGGTCGCGCGCCAGCCTGCGGCTGCTTGAAGTGGCGCGCAGCACGGCGGCGGCGGGCGCGTCGGCGCGCGCGCTGCGCCGGCTGGCGGGGCGACCGCGCTGCCGCGCTTCATCGACGTTCGACGCGCTGCGCGCCGCTCTGGCGCAGCAACTGCGCGACGCAGCCTACCTCTGCAACAGCCCCGCCCCCACATCACCATCTTTCTAATTCTTATGGTAGTAATGAAGGTACCATTACTATCCAAATTTGTTATGTTGTTTCGTTAAGTTTTATATAAATTATTTGAATAAAAAAATTAAAAAAAAAGAAAGAATAAAAATATTACAAATTTCAAAGTTTTTATTTTTCCTCAAAATTAAAATCAGTTGTCAACTGCTACAAACAGTGGTCATCGCTTTTACACTTTCATGGTTTCAAACTACTTAAGTAGATTACAATATAACATTATGTCAATAAAGACAAAACATTAACATTCTAAAATGGAACTAATTCTCATTTAAACATGCTTTATTGCTAATCTGGTGTTTAAGCTAAGTTTAATTTAACTGACCAATCTGTGACGTTTATCAGTTTGATTACTTTATTTGACGTTTGATTTCAAAGAAACTACATCAACTTTTAGGTCATAACATGTTATTATTAAAATAAATTGCCAGTGAGCGCTAAATACTCAAAATATTAAAGGCATAAAATAATTAATATACATGTAATGAATATGAGTAGCTCTTCAGATAATGATTTGAGAGTACTGGAGTTTATTTCTAATATATCAGTACCCAGAAACTTAAGACGTAGGAGAAATCCTTTTAAATGCTTACGGATGAAGAATTCCAATTGAGATATTACTTTGACAAGAACACTGCAATACACCTAAGTAAGTTATACCATCAGCTCTGCTCTTTGTCGGTGTTAAAACTAACTTTCATAGCATTAGGATTTTATGCTACTGGCACTTTCCTAATAGTAATTGGTGATGAAATTACATAAAAACTACTGTATCCAGTGGTATATAAAGTAAGCAAGGAAATAGCAAAGGTAGCTTGGAGTTAAGTATGTCATATGTTTTAGACCCAAAAGAAGTAAAGGTACAAGTTTTTGATATCGTAGGATTTCCAAATGTTATTGGTTGTGAAGATAGATCACACATACCTATTCAATCTCCTGGAGGTGAACAAATAGAACTATTTAAAAATAGAAAAGGTTTCTATTCTATTGATATACAAGTTCTGTGTGTTGCAAAGTTACAAATTCATGACATAGATGCTCGCTGGCATGGATCAACTCATGACAGTACAGTTTTTCATAACTCATTCCTACAAGCATGTCTGAATAACAATGGTCACCTTCTTGGAGACAGTTCATATTATTGTGGTAAGTATATGAAGGGTCCACTGCAATAATGATAAATGTCCTTCTCTCTTTCTTTTAAAATAATTAGGTTTTAATTATATAAACGGTGAAAAATAACTCAGATTTAAAGATAAAAAAGTAATTTTAATTTTTATATAAAAGATAGGTTTTATAATATTATTACTTTGGCAAATAATGAATTTGTAATTTTACTTCACACACAACTTGTAGCAAGTTGTGTGTGTAGAAAAGTTACAAATTCATGACATAGATGTTTGCTGGCATGGATCAACTCATGACAGTAGTTTTTCATAACTCAATCCTACGAGCATGCCTGAATAACAATGGTCACCTCCTTGGAGACAGTGCATATTATTGTGGAAAATATATGTAGGGTCCACTGCAATAATGATAAATGTCCTTCTTTCTTTGTTTTAAAATAATTAGGTTTTAATTTTATAAACGGTGAGAAATAACTCAGATTTAATAATATATAAAATAAATTATAAACTAAATAAAAATAATATAATCTTAAGTATTCAAAAATTAGGACTATAATGATCATTGTCCCCTCTATGGTCACAGTCAATAATGGTGGTTGTCCAAATTACTGGTTCAGTTATCTTCTGATTTTGTTTCAGGCCTACAGAACTTTTTCAGAAACTGCAAGTCGTTATATTTTGCTGTTGATATAGTTAGCTTGTATTCATAAGCTAAATCACGTAATTTAAATTCTCCTACATTAATACCTGCCTTCTTATATTGAAAAGAAGCTGGCGAGTCAACCACACTTAATTCTCATAGACTATTACTTAAAACTGAACTGTGAAACATGAGCCGTGGATGTTCTTTATGGGCTCTAAATTCACGTACAGGTCTTTTGAGAAATTTACAAGATTTTTTGTAAAATCGTTTTAGAAATGCAGTGCAGCCCTTTAATGCATCTTGTAAACATTTAACGACATTGAAAAGTTTAGGCCTCTGTCGAGCGCCACATATGTTGTTCAGCCCATTCTTTAGGGAGTTCAGTCCTAGCCTTTTGATTTATAAAGGTCATGTTTTGGTTGCATTCCACATAGCAGGGAATATTACTGTGACAGACTCTAAGCGATTGCAACAGTGAACCATGTAGTGTAACATTTTAAAAATGGTGTAATTTTTATTTTGACCGCCACATGAGTCACAAAAAATTGTAAGAATCTTGTCCTCCATATCCATTTTATGGCATATAAAATTAAAGAGATGAGAGGCAACATCCAAACCTTTTTTTTCCAATACTCTCATTGTATGCATAGAAATAAGATGTAAGATGAGGAATCAGTAAGGACATGGACATTAAACATAATATAACTAAGCTGCCTTTATAATAAATGTCGTTGGTGTTTATTATATACCTACTATATAGTATATAGTTATGTTTGGCACAAAAAGTATTTTTGAGAAATCCTGCCTAGCCCTCTAACTAGCTTTTCTCTTTTTATTATAAAAGACTTCAGCTTCACTTCATCTTTTTGTGTATCAATAACGCATTATGTTAATAGAAACAAATTTGAGTATCTATATTTTATTTGTATTTCAGAAAAAATTTAGTAAATAGAATATATAAACAAATTTAATTAATAATAACCAAAGAATTACAAATCTTGGAGATTCAACGTCAATATGAAATTATCAAATAACAAAAACAAAATATGATACTGAATTTTGATGTAGAATTAAAGAAAATATTTTACAAAATGCAAAAATGAACTTAGAATTTAAAATAAGAATTTTAATTTATTATATGTTGGTCATTATAAATTAAAATTCTTTTTTTTATTTTTAAGTCCGTTTTTAAATTTACCAAAAGATTCATCTTTCTCTCATCTTCAATCTCAATATCAAGATCCAGTAAAAATTTTGTTTTTTTCTAATTTCACATGTTCATGTTGAAGTTGAATCTCCAATATTTCTAATTTTTGCGTTGTGATGGCATCTTCATTCACTTGCTTCTGGTTTTTTTTTATTATTGAAGCACTGATGTTATTTATATTTTTTGTTTCAGTTAAACAAATCTTTTTTTTTTTTGGTAATAGCACATCAGATATCAGAAGAGGTGAAATTCTTCTTTTACAACCTTCAACTTCTTGAGGTTGATGCACAGTATCATCAATACTTCTTGAGCAGAACCTTGCATATTATTTAACTCTTGTATTTTTGAACAATATCTGTAATGAATAAATTGCAAAAATCAGTCACTATTGTGTAATGTGTAATTTTAGCTAATGATTGTACAGACAAGTCTTTATTTTAATTGCATCACTAGAAATTCGTGCATGGGTACTTAAACCACATTAAATAAATGATTATTTGATTATATTTTGTTTCATTATCTTTATTCTATTTCCGATGAAATTATTAGTGAGTTCGATTCAATTTTAAGAATTTTTCACTGCAAATTTACATTGATACTTTTAATTGCTTATGTATAGCCCTATGCCAAAACAAAAAACAAAATGTTCTACCTGCTGTCTTGTACAGCTCGGACTGAAATTAAAATTTAACATTCTACATTACATACTTCTGATACTATTGCGTGACTTTACATTAAAGTCAGTTATTATTGTGAATACTCCAAGGAAATAACTGTGCCCATTAAGTAGGTTATGATGTATATTATTAGTACCAAGTGAAATTAAAGCTTGTACAGTAAAGTTCCTTTGCACTTTGTACATTTAATGTATTGTTCTTGATATTTCAATAACTTTATGTAGAAAACTAATAAAGATAACTATTATATAAATCAGTTCATTATTTATGTAACATTTTAGGTTCAAAACAATTTTCAACAATTACACGCTATTCCATAATAGCTTCCTGTTCTATACCATAGGAAAGAGTGCTAAGTGTGCTAAGTGTCATAGACCAACATTATATACTAGTGATGTATACTACATATTTCCCTTTATATTTAAATCATAATCTTCAAAACGCTTGGGGTATCTTACATTCCTTTTAGGTCTAGTACATTCTAATTCAGCACCAGAGTCACCTTCATAAATATCACTGACTTCAAACTCCTCTGGCACTGTTATAATTCCAGGTTTCACAAGAGCTGTATTTCTTCTAAATTTTACACCTTCATCACTATCTATAATCATTGATCTTAGTGTCGCACAAATATCAACCACCTCCCAGGTTACCGAACATTACCTTTTCTATACCAAAAATATTTTGATCTTTATAAAATTTTTGATTAGATTGAGTAGCAGTTTTATCATAGGTACTTTTATTACTTTCATTTTTCCTTTTTGATGAAATGCAAAATTATTGATAACCTTTGGATATAACAGTTTGTCGTGAATTGGAAATTTACTTCTAGTTTCTCTACTAAATAATAATTGAGTAGGTGTATATGGTAAACCTAATATTGGGGTATTTCTATATTCCAACAACATGTACTCTTTTTCAATGTCATGTTCTTTACACTTTTTAACATATATTTTGCTTTTAATCATTTATCATTAGTATATCATAGTACTTTGTAAGATGTATTTATTGAATTCTTTAGTCTAATCAACCCCTCATTTTTCTCCACAGTTACAATTCTATTGACCCATGCAGTGGGCTCATCCACTTTAAAAACTACTCTTAATTCACATAAGCGATCTAACTCATTTTTCAAAGGATCTTTTAATTTTAATGGGACTCAATGTGGTAGCTTGGAAATTGGTTCAGAATTTTCTTTCACTTTATTTGGTGTTTATTCGAAAATTCTCCTTTGCCATTAAACACAAATTTAAATTCTTCAATAATTCTATCTTTTTCAAATTTATTCGTAACAGTATTGATAACTTTCCATTCAATTAGACCTAAAATTAAACATGATTCTCTAACCTAATGTTGGGTTATTGCCTTTTAGATTTAGATTTATTTACTTCTACAATGATAGAGCCAAAAACTTTTATTTCAGACCAATCATAATTTACTTTTTGAATTAGACAGTTTGACTTTTTTATTTCTCTCTAATATTTTGTATATGTTATAAGGTAACAAGTTACTATCACCAGTATTCAATTAAAACCTACAATCAACACTTTCTTCTAATAATAACTCTTGAAACCAATTAATTGTATTACAAACCTTTCTAGTTAATGAATTACAATAACAGCAATAGCTCCTCATCTTCATTATCGTGTTCTGATTTACTTACAGTTTTTGATTTACACACAGAAGCAAAGGATTCAACCGATGACACTTAGAACATTCTTTACTTCGTGCTGGACAAATTTCTCTATAGGGAACATGACGATGCCCACACCATTTACAGTTGATAATGTTAGATTTTGAAGTCGTTAACGATATGGATGATTTACTTTTGTTGAGCCCTTTTTCATTGCCGTAGAAAATCTTATTAACACTAACTTCTTTATTTTGAACGTTTTTGTTTGCCTTTTTGTTACTTCGGCTAGGCATGTCGATCTAAAATCGATTAATCGAAAAAACGATTTTTTAGATTGATTCGGAGCACCGCATCGATTCACTGAATCGATCCAAAAACCTCTCGAATCGGAGTGATTCATCAAATTCAAGAACTAGCGATAAAATTCCCAAACGGGTTGGGGTAATACAGCAGTTTTTTAATTTTTTGCTGTTGGGGGACGCAAAACAACCGTTTGTACTAGGTTGATAATTTGAACGCAATATATATTTGAATAAAATAGATATTTATGAACACATCTAACAATATCGAAAAATTTTTTTCGTTTCTAAAATTCTTTTTTTAGAAATGAAAAAAAAAAAATTGCCCTTTTGTTAAAGTATTGTTGTTGTTTTTAGCCTAAAACGTCAAATAAAAGTGATAAATAGAGTGGACAGGGATGTGTTATGGCAAACGCTGAACGCATTTAGGTTGAGCGCTGGTTTGATACAGGCATTAAAGTCTCTGTATAGGGACTCGAGTGCTTGTGTTAGAATCAACGGGGTCTACTCGGACTGGTTTGGCATCCATAAAGGTGTCGGACAGGGCTGTGTAGCTTCCCCGTGGCTGTTCAACCTATTTATGGACAGCTGTTTGGAAAATTTGAAAGTTGAAGAATGCGGGTTAAGAATGGGTGAGTTAACCATCAAATGCCTTTTGTACGCCGATGATCAAGTCGTACTTGCGTCGTCGGCGGCCGAGTTGCAAATTATGGTTACATTAATGAACAGGTCATTAAAAGAAAGGGGAATGAAAGTGAACGCAAGTAAGACGAAAGTGATGGTTTTTGAAAGAGATGAAAGCAAAACGGTATGTGAAATAAGAATATAAGGAGAGTTAATTGATCAAGTGTATGAGTTCGTATATTTGGGATGTGTATTCAGCAGGGATGGGAGATATGATAAGGATATTGAACGACGAGTGAATGCAGGAAATAAAGTAAATGGGGCTCTACACTCTATTGCGAAAAGTCAGAATGTGTCAAAAAAGGCACGTATGGCAATTCAAAGTGCCCTACTTTAACGTATGGTAGTGAAAGTTGGGTGTGGCAGAAGAAGTACGAGAGTAGAATAAATGCAGTAGAAATGCGGTCGCTAAGGAGTATGTTAGGGCTGAATCTGAGTGACAGGGTGAGAAACTGTGTGATAAAAGAAGAGTGTGGTTTGCAAGATGATGTGGTGACCAGGATTAAGAAAGGAATGCTTCGGTGATTTGGTCATGTAGAAAGAATGTATGCGGAAAGACTGACAAAGCAAATATATGTTGCAGAAGTGAATGGAAGAGTCGGAAAGGGACGTCCTAGGCGGAAGTTTGTCGACCAAATTGGCGATATACTAAAAATGGGCCAAATTAAGAGTACCCTTAACCGACGAGCATGTATGAGTAGGTATATGGATGTGGAAGAGGCGAGAAAGGTATGTCAGGATCGTGCTAAATGGAAGTCTGTAGTCTCTGCCTACCCCTCTGGGTGACAGGCGTGAGTGTTTATGTATGTAAAAGTGATACATGGAATCACTTTGTAAAAAAAGGTAACGAGTGGCTTATGTGCGAATCACTTCTAACAAAAGCATTTCAAGCTTACCAGGGGTAGTTAAAAGGAATGTTAGTAATGTTAATTAATAAGATTACAAATATTTTATAAAAAAAAATTAAAGTTCAATTAAAAAAATAATTGCAAATTCTTGAAATTACATGCTTGAATATGTCGCGATTAATTAAAAACCGATCTTTTAATCCTTAATTTAATCGATAATCGATTCTAGTATCTTCGATTCAAATCGATTCAGAGATCGATTTTTTAAGAATGAATCGACATGCCTAACTTTAGCTAATCGAGTGAGTTTGATGTAGGCTAGGTTGGTGATCTGAGATCGATTAATCTCGATTTCTTGTGGCAAAATATCGTTTTTATTTATATGTATATATAATACTGAATCGATCCAGTGGATCGATATTTCACCCTAGAAAATCGAGATCAAATCTTTTTATGTTTTTATAAGAACGATCACAAACTAACAAACACACAAACTCGTAAAGATTGATAGTTTTTCTATTCAAAAACCCTTCAAAACTGCTCTGCGCTCAGTTTCTTTCATCTCTTCTTAATGGATTCAAGAAATAAAAAATATGTTAATTTTGTAATCTACACTTTCTTGTATATTTTGATATTGTAAATATAAACTCTGAAAGCAAATCGAAACAAGATCGATTTTTGAACAATCGATTTTTTTGACTATTCGATTTTTTTGTGAATTGATTCATCAGATCTCGATTCAAATATCGATCTTTTTCGAAAAGAATCGCCATCACTAGCTTGATGTTTTCTTTTTTAACAATTTGACAATACAATGATGTCATTCATATAGTCTATGGAGTGTAGAAGTAAGGAGTACAAACTGTGTATTAAAAAGGGTCCATAGAAAACCGTTAAGTAAGGGTGGCGCCACTATAACTACGGGGTAAATTTTAAAGAACGCACCGAAAAATATTAGTGGGATAGACGACTTTGTCGAGGTTATATTTACTAAATAAAATTATTTTAGATTTTAGAGCCACTGAAAAGTTTAGCAGCACACTTAAACCGTCGACAACTGCTAAGTTCATTTCATCCCAGTAACTACTCCAGCGCTGTTGTGGAGAGTTTTCGAACTGTTATTTACTGCTTACAGATGGCCACTTTTTCAACTATTCTACTACGGGAGTTGGTACTCCTTACTTCTACACTCCATAATACAGTCCCTCAGTCCCTGATAAATAATGAATTATCTTAATTTATTGCTAAACTTGTGAACTAGTCTCACAAAAGAATATTTTATAAATAATACTATTTTTTTTTAATTTAATTTTATAAATAATACTATATTTTTATAGTTATGAAGAATTGAAATTCAATTTTAGACTCGACGTCTTCGATGGGTCAAAACAAACCCATCTAGCGGCAAATTATAGAACTTGTTAATGGTTTTGTAGCGGCGCTGTCATCGCGCCACAAGCGAAATACACCGAAGCTTAAATCACGCTATCAACATTCCGAATCATAGACAGTATATATAGAACTTATCCGAACTATCACTCGGAGTGTCGGCCGCTCCCCGGGCAGAACAACTTGCCCGGCGGGAGATCTCCCCATTTTCCTTCTACGGCCACAGTGGTGACCCCGACGTGATCTGAACACGCAACCAAACAACCTTCGGAAACTTCAAGCTTTATCATCGTCATAGAATACCCCACCCATTCACCCCCGAGCAGATATCGTCTGCAGTCTTCATATCCTGTAACCCATCTAGCTTCACAAGGTTCATCGCAGCACTGGAATAATAATGCTTCCTGTTCCTTCAAGCTACTCTCTGCGCTATACAGTGTTCGGCACGGCTCTGAGCCTTACTGCTCGCCTCTGCTTCACGGCACTCTCGCAGATTACGTAGCCTTCTTCTCAACTCACCGCAGACTACTACAAGGCAATCCACTGGCACTTGCACATTCGTCGGCAACAAGGCTGCACTAACGACCTCCGGTCTGAGCAGGGGGGTGATGTAGCGGCGCTGTCATCGCGCCACAAGCGAAATACACCGAAGCTTAAATCACGCTATCAACATTCCGAATCATAGACAGTATATATAGAACTTCTCCGAATTATCGCTCGGAGTGTCGGCCGCTCCCCGGGCAGAACAACTTGCCCGG